GGGGCTGCAGTTCGTGAACCGAGGGGCCGTCCGCGTGGCCTGCAGGCCATTCATTCCCTGCAGGGCCCGGCCCCGGTGGTCGGACCCCAGTCCCCCCCGGTCTTTGTGCAAAAGCTCGCAGTCCCGTTTTCGCATGCATCTCCCAGCTTTTTTTCTTTATTGATTAAGGTATTACATGTGTGTCCTTATCCCCCCATTTCCCTCCCACCCCCCACTCTTGCCCTCACCTCCCGGGTGCCTGTGTCCATTGGTTATATGGTGACAAGTACATTTTTCCTTCCCGCAGGCCAAGGAAACGCGCCTTCTGGAATGGGCCTGCGGGCCTCGCCCCTACACCTCCGGGCGACCTAGGAGCCAAGAGGCGCGGGTGCAGCTGCTACGGCACCTCGGGCGCCCCGGGGCGTCTCCGGGAGTGACCCGTGGCCTATGGCGCGCCGTCACTGCCCCTGGGCCGAGGAGGAAACATGCATCCGAGGGCATTTACCTAGTTCAGAAGAAACCAGGGTTCACGCAATTTCCGCGGCGCCAGTTTCCCTCCAGGTGCAAGGAAGCCCTCTGTGAGGACGGTATCGGAGGGAGACTCATTGTGATTCTGGAACTGTGGCTGGAGGACCAGCCGCATCCGGATGGCCTGCGGCGATTGCAGCTGAGCGTCAGCGAGCTGCTGGCATTTGGGGACTCGTTGGACTAGCGCAGCGGAGCTTCAGCCCGGGATCCGCAGGGTGAGGCTGCCTTCTGACCCTGCGCCTGCTTCCTGCCCTTCCTCCCAAGCGCTTTGTTTTCGGGGAGAGATTCACGGTATGAAATGCCACGCACCTGCCCGGTGCCCACTGCTGCCTCCGCTCATCGTGGGGAGCTGGGAGGTGGCGCTTCTGGAAGGAACGGGGGCAGTTCTGCAGTTTCTGTATAGAAAGGGCTCAGGGGGTGCCACCTGTGTGGAAGGGGTGGGAAGTTAAAGCGTTTGTCCTGAAGCATTTATTACACTTTTTAGTTGAAACGCCTGCCTGCCTACAAGTCGTTTTGAGTTTCCACTCCCTTGCTCATTTGCACGTTGCCTCTTATAATGCCTGTGTAGAGGGAGTGTGATGCCATAGCAAAACAATTTTATCGGTTTTAGCAATGCCTCTTTTTTTTTTTTAATGTTTTTATTGGTTTCAGAGAGGAAGGTAGAGGGAGAGATGGAAACATCAATGATGAGAGAGAATCATTAATCAGCTGCTTCAGCTGCTCTTCACCAAATGGGCAGATGGAAGGAAGTGGATACTTAAC